TTTTTTTTTTTAATTGGTACGGTATTTTTATGGAACATTTCTTAGCATTTATTTGGAACTTTTCGGAACCTTAGAAGAGATTTCTTCCTTACTATTCGTAAAACAAGATTTTTAAGGATTTTTTTAAGGAGACTATTATCGATTTTTTCTTGGGGATTTTTCGTGATTTTTTTTAGGTTTATTGCAAGATTTCTTGGAGTTTTCAAAGTTTTTAGAAATTTCTTACTTTTCGTGAAACGCGATTTTATAAGTTTCTCGAGATTTTCTCGGGATTTTTTTCGCAAAATTTTGAAAGCTTTCCCGAGTTTTTCGAAGTTTTTCTCTCTTTTGTTTTTCGGTATTTTTTTCGAATGTTGAGTGACCATTCGTATTTTATTACGAATCTCATCGAACTATCAGTAGCGAAGAAATATTTAAATTTTAGTTTTGCTTCTTTTTAATTCAAAAGTATTCTATTTTCTTGTGAAAAATAAAAAATGTCAAATGTAATTTCTTACTTTTATTTATAAAACGTACAGTCACCGGCAAACGGAATTTGTCGATGATTTAGTTACGATTTTCATGGTGAATTATTTTGTTAATTTTTTAAATGTAAAGCTAATTCTACAACAAAAAGCATGTAAATAAAATTTTAAACGTTGAATAAAAAATTTCGTTTACGGAGAAAATGCTCAATATCGTCAAAAAAAAAAAAAAAAATTAAAAATTAACGGTATCTTTAGCAACTTCAAACCACTTCCACTTTATTGTACTAAAATTGAATGGGCAATTAAACTTTATACTCGAACTTGTTTTAAAAGTTCTGATTAAAAGTTTGACATTTTGTTGATTTTTTTTCTATTTTAGCAAGGTTATTGTACTTTGTACCACAATTTATTTCTTAGGAAAAATGTATTAATTTGCTGAAAAGTTTGAAATTCTGACTTACATAATGTTTGTTCTAGAATGAGCTCTATATTTATTAAAAAAAAAAATGACTATGGAAAACCTTTTCAAAATCTCAAAAAAATCAATGCTGAAATACTTTTGCCAGTGGCTGTGTACTCGGTATGGCTTCCGTATTATACACATTTTTGTAGTTTGGTTTCTGCGTTGGGTACAAGAATATAAAATGTGCAGACAAATACTTTCAATAAACAGAGCTACATACAATTTATAAAATCGAAATCTATCATTTTCAAAATTAAGTAATCAATGTGATTCTCATAAAAACTCTACACTTTGTTTGATGACTTGCAGCGACAGACTTATTTGCGATAAAATTGTTGGAGCTTTTACAACTTGCAATTGCATAAAAAAAAAACGCCCACTAAAATCCCGAGGCAATACNATTTAATTGTGATTATTTATATTGCTATTGACTTTATGCAAATGACATCTTTAGCAAATGAGCAAACACTTACCATAGTAGCCATGCGAGAAGCGGGAAAGTAGCCAGGCAAAAGGCCGAGCGCTAAGAAATTTCTACGCTTATTGTGTTCGTGCACAAACTGATCCTTATAGTCGGAGATGTCTAGCTCAATGGCGTCGGCGGCGCAGCGCTTGGCGAAGGTCTGCAGATGGAAAGTGGTAAAGATTTATTTAAACTTTTTTTGTTGTACGAGTCTCAATTGGTTTTGCCACTTACGCCATTATTGCGGCAGGCCAAATGTCGCACACCTTTCTCGCATAAACTCGAATCACACCAGGAATACTGGTAGCTGCTGTCGCCCATAGGCAGTCGTTGTAGCAGCAGCAGCAGCAGCGCTGTCAGTGAGAGTGAGAGTTTGGCGATTGACACCCGCTGCTGCCATTGCCATTTGGGCACACAAACACGCAAATTACTTTTTGTTGACATTTTTCTAATTGCCAGTGCTAAGCGTAAAATAGCTATTAAGTGCTTTTGTTTGATTTTTATTTAATAGATATGGGCGCTGAAAATAGGCCTCTTAATTGCCGTTAAGTGGTGGGTATGAGCAGCTGGCGACTTTCAGGCATTCGCAAAAGTGTAATAAAAGTTCGAATGGCACTTAAAACAATTTTCAAATATATACACCGCGTTTGAAGAAAAAAGTAAATATCTTAATTAAAAAACGATTTCGCTTTCGATCACTTGCACTTTATTTTCGCCGA